CAGGCGGGGAGCTGGCTTGAGAACCTGGGGGGTAAACCCCATTTGGGGCATCCCTTCCATTGCTGGAGGTGTCTGAGGGTGGCTCCCCGCACGGGCTCTGCCCCAGGGGGCTTCCTGCAGGAGCCCACCCCCTCCTCAGCGCGGGTCCCTGTCCCCACTCACTCCTCCCTCTCATCCCCAGCTACGAGGAGAGCTCTACCCCCAAGGAGGTGCCGGGGACCCCCAAAGAAGAGACGACAGAAGCCTCCAAGAAGGAGAAGTGACCTTGCCCACGGGCCATGCCCGCTGCCACTGGGCTGGGACCCTTCCAGACCCCCTGCGAATGACAGACGACGAAACCAATTGTGCAAGAGCATCGTGTTGTGTGTGTGGGAGCAGCCGCCCAGGTGGGGTATCGATGTACGCCGCGCAGCCACCCCCCCGCCTGCTTATCTCCCCCGGGGGGTGCACGGCGGGCGGGCAGCAAACCACAGCCCGGTTTTTAAATTTTGTATTGTGCATTTGCTTTCTCTCATATTAAACCATGTGGAAGGAAGGCGGGATGGTCTGGCTGTGCCGGTAGCCCGGGCAACAGCCGCTGCTCTGGTTGTAGCCCCTCGGCCACTGCTCTGGTTGTAGCCCTGGCTCTCCAGCTGTAGCCCCAGCTCTCCTGTTGTAGCTCCTTGGTGCTGCTCCGGCTGTAGCCCTGGCTCCCCATTTGTAGCCCCTTGGCCACTGCTCCGGTTGTAGCCCCTGCTCTCCAGTTGTAGCCCCTTGGTGCTGCTCCGGCTGTAGCCCTGGCTCCCCATTTGTAGCCCCTTGGCCACTGCTCCGGTTGTAGCCCCTGCTCTCCAGTTGTAGCCCCTTGGTGCTGCTCCGGCTGTAGCCCTGGCTCCCCATTTGTAGCCCCTTGGCCACTGCTCCGGTTGTAGCCCCTGCTCTCCAGTTGTAGCCCCTTGGTGCTGCTCCGGCTGTAGCCCTGGCTCCCCATTTGTAGCCCCTTGGCCACTGCTCCGGTTGTAGCCCCTGCTCTCCAGTTGTAGCCCCTTGGTGCTGCTCCGGCTGTAGCCCTGGCTCCCCATTTGTAGCCCCTTGGCCACTGCTCCGGTTGTAGCCCCTGCTCTCCAGTTGTAGCCCCTTGGTGCTGCTCCGGCTGTAGCCCTGGCTCCCCATTTGTAGCCCCTTGGCCACTGCTCCGGTTGTAGCCCCTGCTCTCCAGTTGTAGCCCCTTGGTGCTGCTCTGGTTGTA